TTAATTAACATTAAATTAATTATTCAATTAAATTAATTATCTTGATTAATTAATTTCAATCCTCAATTTTCTTTAATTTCGGTTAAAATGAAAGTTATTTTTATTTTATCTCAATTTCACCCAAAAGTTTTATAATTAAGCAATTCAATCCCAAGGTTTCAAAATTTTTTAAAATCAGTCCTTCATGTTTTTGAACTTAATCAAATCAGTCTTTCATATTTTTGAATTTAATCAAATTAATCCCTTTAATTTTTCTTTGTGCTTATGATGTATGCATGTCTTTGATTTTGTCCATTCTAGTCCAAAAAATCCAAAAATTAAAAAAAAAAAATGTTTCGATTTGGTTTATCTTTTTTTTTTTTAAGTTTGCCTATTAAGACTCAAATATAAATATAATAAATAAGTTGAATTAAAACCCCAATTTTAAAGTATGTAACCGTGTTTAAACGGAGGATTGTGAGGTGTATATATGTCTTTCCTCACTCTTAATCGAACCACTAAACCTCGATCTCTACGCAGATCCATTTTAGGTAATTTGTCCCACCTTATAATTTAGACAAGTGACAACTGCCTTTTCTTTTATATTTTACACTTAATTTTCCATTATTTTGAAATTTTAATTGATCGTCAACATTGCCGAAGTCCTACCAAGTTTTTGTTAGGCTTTTCAGTATCTGAGCTACATATTATTGAGCTTTGCTCAGCCTAGGCTTCAAGGCTACTTCAAATTTTCTTCAAGTGTTGCAGTTCGGCATTCATTGAGATCATGTAACTTCATAAGCTTTGCTTTTGGTTTAAGTGAGGAGTTTGATGTACCTCTAACTCTCTCAAACTTAGATTTAAGTCCACTTAGGGAAGTTAGGGTTAGATCAGAGAGTGAAATAGAGCGTGAACTTGAACTTACACAAGATCCTAACTACTTTCCACCCCCACTCCTTGTAGTGAGAGCTACGAAATTGAAGAAATGTCTTCTGAGGAAACACTAAGTATTGGAGAAAGGGAAGAAGTGAAACCAATAGGCTAGGGTAAAAATAGTTTTGAAGTGGAGTCCTCCAGAAGTGGGGGGAGTGAAGAGGGAGAGGAGGAAGTGAGGATTTCCTCAACTATTTGGAGGCTAACGATGTAGGTTGAAGTGTTTTGATGAATCAGAAGAAATTGTATTTGAAGTGATGGGATATGAGGCCTCCTAGAAGAGCAAGAGCAGCCTAGTACTTTTGGTGGACAACTACGGGATCCCATCCCACGTGTTAATGGGAACCATTTGAAAAGACAAAAAGACGCAGTCAATCTCCTTACCCTTACGGGAACCCTGAAGAGTAGATACTGTGTTACAGACAGAGAGGGAGGGAGAGAGATGGCTTGCAGTCTAAGGTCGCTCGATGTCCCAATGGCTGATATGGGCGCACTGCACACCCGTGCTCCTTTGGCGGTTGCAGGAATCGCGGCTGGTTCTGCTATCTGGCGGTCTTCTGCCAGAAAATCATCTCGTTTTGCTTGCTTGAGCATCTCCACTTCTTCTGGTAAACCAAAACAAGAAATCCTCTGCCCTTCAGAGGAATAGTCTCTGTTACCTTTGTTTTTATAAGTTCTGATTAATGAGTTTACAGTAGAAAATGTCTGTTTGGGGAAAAGTAAATGCTATCACTCTTGTGAATTTGTTGACTTTTTGATGTGTACCGAATGGAATCAAATCAATAGAATTTTTGAATGGTGGATTTTTTTTTTTTTTTATCTTCTTTCTTGAGTTCTTCTTTTCAGAAATGGTGGTTTTGTTTCTTGGAGGAAATGCTTGTTATTCTGCCCTAAAATGTGATATTCTACAAATTTCCTATCTGCAGCATATAGGTCCTCCCTTAAAGCTGCTTCTTCCCTTTCTATCTCCTCAATTATCAACTTAACCCTGGTCAAATGAAACAACAGTAAAACATGAACAACATTTAGCATAAAGCTATGTCAACCACATTAAGGAAACTAGAGATAGTAACTCAAACCTTTCTGGGAGCTGAGCAATTGAACTTTGATTTCCAGAAATTGAGTCTGCAGAAGAGAAGTCAAAATGTTAAGCACACCCCTGAAGGGTTTAAGCAGCATAACTGCGTATTTATCGACATTACGACCCTCCTATACGATGATGTTTGCAAAAAGAAAAAACACTGTTCTAATTTGTACTTCACCACTGTTGATCTGCCTTACTCTTCTGTAAATTGTAAACAAGAAGATGTAAGGAGAGATCAAAGCTGAACTATGGACACAGGATATTAGTAAAGATTAGCTTGTTGTTCTTAAATATCATATCCAAATACATGAAGCAAAAGAGCTTACATAAACAAGATGTGAAGAGAAAAAAACATGACAAAAGAAACACGAGGATTACCAATGTCATTAACTAGGCATCTGCCAACTTGTCACATTTAGCATTTAATCAAACCTCAATCCCCCGCGCAAGACACAATCGGTAGTTTGTCATATTCTATGACAGCAAATTGAGAATTTACCATGTTACAAAGCAGTGAGTTGACAGAAGCTTCGCAAAAGATCTCACATAACATCATATAGAGTTATAATACCATTGAAAACGTCTGCTGAAGCTGATTTTTCCATAAATAAGCAGGTGTTATTCCAAGAAAGCGATTTGGTACGCCATAAACTCCTGGTTCTACTGCACCACTAGCACTAACTGTTCCAGCAGCGGCATTATGTGAATAATTTATCGAGTTTGAACTTGAGCTGATTGTGAGACTGGTATTGGTACTACCTAGTGAACTTCGTGACATTTTTCTCCAATTTTCAATTTATTCTTCTTCATGGATTTCACCATCTTCAGATATCAGTGGAAGTCTTAATCTTTGGGCTGCTTCTGCAACAACAAGTCTGTGCTCTAGGTTCTCATAAACCTAAAGTTCATAAAAGCATAACATCTCTCACATCAAATTCTAAGCTGTTATTAATTTACTCTTTGGTATTATATGAACAAATAATGCTGAACTCACCACTAAAACTAATGAAACATTGCAAATTCGCATGAGTGACCCACGACCGATAAAGATTATTGATCATTTTGGCAAAAAATCTCAGACAACTGGAACAGTAAGTGGAACCTGAGGAGAGTTCTTTAAGCCAGGTTGCGGGTATAGATCCTGCACATCCCGAATTCCTCCAAGATTAGCCACGGAAACAGCCTGCTGATACTCTTCCACCATTGCAATTGCTTCACAGTAAATTGCCTGCAATTTCACACCCCCAATCAACAGCAGAGACTAATTTCATAGAAAAGAAACTAAATCAGAGACTTACCACTGCTTCCAAGTATCGCAATCTCTCCCGCGACATTTCCTCTCTCGCCTGCAAATCAAAAATCAGTATTCTAGGCAAAATTAAACAAAAGGGCAAAAAACTAAAGATTATATTCTTCAATTTGTAATTCAAAGCAGCTAGCCAACCACATTTTTACGGGAAAAAAGACAGAAGTGAAGAGAGATTACGAGTTGGAGACCGTAGTAGGCAGATTTGGAGACAAGCGAGCCGTTGGGGGCTAAGCAGTGGCGCTCTAGCTGATCGATCACTTGAGTCAGGTCCGCCGATGTGTTCTGGCTTCCTTTCACCATCTGATTGATTAACTCCGGCTGTAATCGTTGCCGGAAAACAGTGTTTGTCCTGCCACCAATGCCGACAGAAATGGAAATCTGAACGGAGAAGGCCGGTCCTTTTGCAATTTTTTGAAACTTGAATTAGAAGGGAAAGAAAATCTAAAACGGAGGATTCCACTTAACCAAACTGTCCTACTATTCCATCTTTTAAATATAATTCAATTCACTACTTAATGTTTTAATAATTGATAAAGTGTTAATATGTTATTACTTATATGGTAGATATTAATTGGAATTAATGTTTGTCTGCCTTACTTTTCAAAAATTAAGAGAAAAAATGAAAAAAAATCACCTTAATACATGCTTTAAAAATAAAATAATTTAATTTTTTTCAATAAAAAGTTATTGAAATGACGTAGTTTTAGGATGATTTTCCTTCTAATCTTTAAGAGATAAGGTTGACAGAAACTTTTTTCATATTAATTTTATTCATGTAAATAAAAGACAAATAAGCATTAAGTTGATGGTAAGAAGAAAGATTAAATTGTCCAATCTTTAAGTTCAAGAAGTTATTTGCTTCAATAACAGTCTAGGGACTTAATTGAAAAGTTGAGACAAATTTGAGAGGTTAAAGTAAGGTTTTACTTTAATAATTTTATTTAGATTACTAAAGAGATGGTTCAAACTTCTTCCTCTATTACCATAAAAATATTTGAGAAGGGTGAAACCTGAAACTAGTTTCTATATATTGTCCAATCAACGTATTAAAATACAAATAATTTATAATTTATTAAATTAAATTTAAAATAATAAAAATTAATATATAACTATGTTAAATTGTATATAATTAACATATAATTAAATGAGTATGTACAACAAATAATTTGAATTTGTAATTTTAAAATATCAAAACCTATACCTTATAACTAAGCTAGTGTGTCCTTGTAATTGCTATTATAATATTCAAATTAAAATAAAAGAAATCAGGATTCAATTAACAGTACAACTTTAAAAGATTAAGGTACTGATTGTAACTATTAAAAAGATGTGGACCACAATGGACCAATCTTGAAGGGAGTAATACGAAGAATTTACTCTAAGTTATTCCCTATGGGTGGGTTGGATAAGGGCAAAAATATTCACAGGCACTTTGGCGAAGCATATTTTAGAATTAGTTCTTTAGATAATTTGATTTCTCAATACATTGTTAATTGCCCTGGCCTTATCAACTCAAGTTTTAAGAGTCAATTTCTCTGCAAATCCTAGCTGC